CCCCGGTTGTGTCTGGCATAAAAATTTATCCCTGTAAGAAGAGGCAGGGCCATAAAGGAATTTTAGGGAGTTTTATTTTAGGAGCTGTGATCTCCAGCTCGGTGTAAAGGTTTAAACAGCACAAAAGGGCTGCGAGCAGCGCTCGGCTTTAATGATTCCGGCAGATAAAATCAGTTTATTAAAGGTCCCCGTGGCAGTTTTTATAGGGATGGGGCCGGCCAGGCACTCCTGTGATTTTTTTTTCCTAGGGAAAATATGGGATTTGGCTGTGCGGATATTGAATATTCGGTCCCCCAGCGGCTCCTGGGCCGGGATTTTTGGGAGTGAGAAATGCCAAGGCGGGTTCTGGAGACACAAAACCCCGCAGGGATGAGCGGCGGGTGCGCGGATCTTTCATTTCATCACCTCCGACATCTCCCGTAACTCTAAATTCATCATCTGCAACATCCCCAGACCGAGAATTTCACCCAATAAAAGGATTTTTTTTTTAGGTGGCCGCAACAATTTCGCCACATATTTCCATCTGGGAATCTATTGATTAAAAAAAAAGGGAAAAACGAATTACAAACAAAGCCCTAAACCGATAAAATTTCAGCGAGAAAAGCTCGGAGTGCCCGAGTTTGCGCTGGCATGAAGTTCACAGGGGCTGGGTGAGGATGAGTGTGAAAGGAATCGGATCCTCGCAGAGATTTTCCCCGCTCCGCTGTTCCCAACCCCTCATAAAAACAGATTTCACATGGTCCTGAGCGCGGCTAAACAAGTCTGGGAATCGATCTCCCCGCGAGCTTTAAGGAATTAAACTTTGATATCATATCCAGCGCCCAATCCGCCATCTGCTCCCACTTCTTATTTTTTTTTTAAATTTTTTTTAAGTTTAGGCTGAGTTTTTTTAACATTTTTTTTTTTATTTTCCGCTCTCAAACTTTTTATTTTTTTTTTTTTTTTTTCCCAAAACCAAACCAAACCGGGCTGGGGGGTTTAAAACCGCGAAAAATTCCCGAAAAAAAAAGCGACTCTCGCCTAAAAAACAAACACGAGCTGGAGGGGGAGGAGAGGGGAAAATCAAACAGCGGAAAAAAAATAACAGGGAATTTTCGGGATCCTTGTGACTCCTGCTTTAGGAACAAGGCGCTGCTTGTGGCCGGCCTCAAAAAAAAAAAAAGCCCTAAAACGGAAAAAGACAATCTGGGAAAGTTAATCATAAACCTCGGGGTAATAACGGCCCCAAAGGCAAGCAGGGAGCCGCCTCGGAAATGTCTGGGGCTGCTGATTTCCATCTCCCCCCTGCCCAGGCCAGGAATCCGGGGAAAAAAAACCGGGATTAGGACCTAGGGGTGGCCCAAAAAAGGGAATTTGGGGCTTTTTTTCCCCCCCAGGGAAGGAGGAGGGTGAGGCGGGCAGGGGGGTCCCGGTTTTTGTTTTGCCGATTTCAAAATCCTAAATTCAAAATTCTCTATTTCAAAATTCCCGATTTCAAAATTCCCGATTTCAAAATTCCCGATTTCGAAATTCCGATTTAAAATTCCCGATTTAAAATTCCCGATTTAAAATTCCCGATTTCGAAATTCCGATTTAAAAAATCCCGATTTAAAATTCCCCGATTTTAAAATTTCCCCGATTTAAAATTCCTCGATTTCAAAATTCCCCGATTTTAAAATTCCCCGATTTAAAAATTTCCCCGATTTAAAATTCCTCGATTTAAAAAATTCCCCGATTTTAAAATTTCCCCGATTTAAAATTCCTCGATTTCAAAAATTCCCCGATTTCAAAATTTCCCCGATTTCAAAAATTCCCCGATTTCAAAATTCCCGAGAGGAGCTTACCTGGATGGGATTGGGATTCCGGGCTGGAAAAGGAGGAAAAAACTCGGGTTTAATTCAATTTAAACCTCCCCCAAGTAAATCCCGCTCTTGGCTGATCTTTTCCCCCCATCCTCCAAGAGTTTTAATTCGGAGAGAGGGGGGAGAAAAATGTTCTGAGCCCGTCCCAAAGAAAGAAACTCCCCCTTTTATTTGGCTTTTTATGGGAACAATTCCAGCTCCTCTACCTGCGCCTGTGTCCTCCCACCCTCCTGGAGCGCTTCCCTCCCTTCCTGCCAGCCTAAACCGCGGCTTTGGGGATTTTTGGGGGGATTTTGGGGTTTTTCGGGGTTTTTTTTTAGGGGTATTCAGGTTACATCACTGGGAGCCCAAAGCAGAGCCAGAGGAATCCACTAAAAGCGAGTTTTGGGGTTTTTTGGGGAGGTTTTTGGGGTTTTTTGGGGGAGATTTTTTGGGTTTGGGGTTTTTTTTTTAGGGGTATCCCGGTTACACCGCTGGGACCCCAAAGCAGAGCCAGAGGAATCCACTAAAAGCGAATTTTGGGGTTTTTTGGGGGGGATTTTGGGGGGTTTTGGGAGTTTTGGGGTTTTTTTTGGGGGAGACTTTTGGGGTTTTTGGGGTTTTTTTTTAGTGATGTTGTGGTTACACCATGGGAACCCCAAAGCAGAGCCAGCAGAATTCACTAAAATCGAGTTTTGGGGGTTTTTTTGGGGAGACTTTTGGGGTTTTTGGGTTTTTTTTTGGGGGGGATATCCCGATTATACCACGGGCACCCCAAAGCAGAACCAGCAGAATTCACTAAAAACCATTTGGACGATGAATTTGGATTTTTGGGGAGGCTTTTTTTGGCTTTTTGGGATCAATTTTAGGGTGGAATTCCCTGGAATATTTTTCCAAGCAGGGAATTGAACCAGTCCAGTGACCAGAACAACAAACTCAACTTTATT